CAGGCGTGCACAACGCTCAATTTTTCAGCATACACCTGGCCGAACAAAAGCGCCGAGGCAACTTGGGCAGTAGAAGAATGAGAACGCTAAAAGATCCTCGACGTACCGTCGCCAGAATATTCGTTTCAAGACCGCATTTGATCTGGACATCGGATAATCTGCGATCTGCATGCAACCTTCCAAGCCCAGAGCCTCCTCGTAACCTAACACGACGGACACTGCTGCTGAGCTTAGAACGCCACCGATAGCCAACCCATGCTGTTTTATCACAAGGGTGCTCAGACATGCAAAATTCAATGCCGCGGCAGCCTGGAGACAAGCACCGAGGAGGGTGAGGGAGAAGGCCCACCATCCCCGAGACCAGGGTTGGTCTCGAGGAATCCTGAATGCGAGCGCTCTGCACTTCTGGACGAACGTGTACGTGGATCCAGATGTTTCTGGCTACCGCGCGGCTGCGTGCATCCAGGCAGGCAGCACCCGTTCTGCAGCGCATGCTTCGAACGCCTGATCCACGTCTGCCGAACAGATGCTGAGTCCGACGATGGGCTGGGAGCATGTGGCGCAGCACCCCAACTTGGCCAACCCGCTTTTGACGCTGGGAATCGCACCGCCCCTGCTGAGAACTCCGCATGACAAGTCCACGGCCTGGACAGCAGCCCAGACGCCTCGCGCCGCCGCGCGCCGGGCGCGCGCGAACGGAACCTGGCTAGCACCCACACGGCGTCGCAGGCAGCAGTGCCCAGGCTTCGCGCAAGTCTGGGCGCCCTCATCAGAGAAGCATGCCATCTTCCCGAACGCAATAATCACGGGAGGCGTCGCGCCCTGGCTCCCAGGGGCTGCTCGGCCCCGGGCCAAGGCGTCCTTCTGACAGAAGGCTGGCACCATGGTCCATATCGGATCATCGTGGATCGCGCTCACGAGGTGCGCAAACACATCATCCACTGAGACGGACCACACTGTTTGCGAATCTTTACCGTCTGGAAGAAGAGCGTCTGACTTCGGAAGGACGCGAGTGCATTCGCACTCCTCGTGCATTCCATGCAGGAGGGTATGGAGACACGCAGTGACGCGCGAATCCATCATGCAAGTGTGGCGCTAGCGAGACGCGCACGCGAGAATGGAGACGATGACGACACGTCCAATCCTTCCACGCTCAGGTCAACTGGCGGCTGACATGCCCATGTTTAGGCCACATGGGAAGTCGCCATGGCGCCCTGTGTGCATGGAGGAAGGGCATGGCGGCCGTGGCCCCGATTTCAGCATGGGATCTGGCAAGAAGACGCTGCGTAATCGAAGGCCTGCGGCTTACGTTTGCCATTGGATCCGATCGAACCACACCTTGGCGCGCGCAGGCTGGATCCGGAGGTGCTCCTTGCTCTCCGGAGCCGCGCAGGGAAGGTGCGGACTTTGCACAGCGCTTCTCTCACCAGCTTGCGAAGCGACCCAGATCGGAGCATCAAGGCAGGATGCACCAGCAACGGCTCCGCGTGAAGCGGGAACAAGGTGAAGTCGGGCTTGTCCGTGTACAAGGAGGAATCTTTCAACAACACAAAGAAGTCAGGGGGCGATGTTTGGACTATTTTTGAAATGTTGTTGCATATGTTTTGACTATGTTTGATTTGTCGTCCAAAATCGGCGTGTAGGAGGACATGCCCGACCTAAGGCGTCGCGCGAGCCCTGGCCTGCGGCGCCGCTCTCTGCAGCGCGCCCGACCGTGATCCCGCCAGGCTGGCCAACAGACGAGACGTCTTGCCTTGCCTTCTTCCTCCTCCTCCTCCTCCTCCTCCTCCTCCTCCTCCTCATTCCTCCTCTTCCTCCTCCTCCTCCTCTTTCTCCTCCTCCTCTTTCTCCTCCTCCTCCTCCTCCTCCTCCTCCTCCTCCTCCTCCTCCCCACCGGCCCGCCCCCCCCCATCCCCGGCTGCCAGCGGCGCGCGCGCCAGAGGAGGCACGCAGAAGCCTGCACTCAGGAGCAGACAGTGGGGTGGGGCCGCGCTGGCCTGCAGGAGCCAGGCGGGACGGCCGAGGGAGGCCCATGCAGCTCCGAGGAGGGGCTTCTCTGGCCGGAGGCGGGGCAAAACGGCTCGGGAGCAACGATAGAGGGGGATAGGCATAAGGGGGGATGCATCGACCCCCAATCGCCCATTGGTCGCCGATAGGGGCTCGATGGCCCCAGACTGCCCAGGAAGGTGCGGGTTCACCATCGGAGGCCTATCGCCGATCTATCGGCGACGTATCGCCGATTCCAGGTCGATGCATCCCCCCCCCTGTGCCAGTCCCCCCCTACCGTTGCCCCTCAAAATGACAGGGAGCTGGAAGGGATGTCCGCTTCTCCAAGCGCCTTTCAAAAGTCCAGCTGTGCCCGCATTGCTCCGGTCAGGTCTTGCTGGCGGAAGCGAGGGAAGGGACGCCGCCTGCACGCGGGCCGCTGGGCCCGTGACGGCGTTCCAAGCCCGTTCGATGCCCGCAGTTGGCGCGCGTCCGTTCCACTGCTCAAAAGGGCAGAGGCCAGCAATCAAACATGTCTCTATGGCCAGAGCCTGTGCATCGGATTCAACGAAGCGATGGGGATGAAGCGCGCTGAGCCCTCTGAATGGCGGAGCGCAGCGTATCGCTTGAGGCCTCCATCTTGGGACGACGGACGAAGGAGACCATAAAGATGCTCTGCTGCCTGCGCCGCCAATCTAGACGCGAGCCCCGTCGACGTAGAGCGCCGCAACGTGGCTTTGCCAATGTAGGTGCCAGCACACTCCGCGGTTTTTGCCTGGGAGGGCACAGCGCTGAACTACCGAGTGATATCTCAATAACAACAAAACCGTGAGCGCTGCAGCGTCGCACACAAGCTTTTGGTAAACACTCCAGAGCGCAGACAACCATACATTTGCCTGACTGTGTCACTCCTGCTTCTCCTACAGCAAGGATACATGTTTCCACCCGCTGCCCCCACGCGCAGGCTGCCGTCGAAGTAACCTCGTGCGCGAAAGAGGGGCATGCCCTCCACGCTCGCGTGGCCCACCGAGGCGGTGTATAGCCAGCCCGAGTGCCCGCGAGAGACGAGCGGCCCCCATGCTGGTCCAAGCTACGATTAAGTCGGACCTGCCCCTCTAGAGGAGGGATATTCAAAAATAGTAAACAAATAGTCTGGGGACGATGTTTTGACTATTTTTGAATGTGTGTTGGTTATTTGGGGTTCTTTTTATTATTATAATTCTTTTTCGTACAAAATCCGCCTGTGGGGGGACATGCCCGACCTAACGCTACGACCCATAAGCACGCACGCTGAGCTGCGCGAACCCGGCCAGCGCGGAGCCTATCAGGCACAGCATTTTGAACACCAGTGCGAACTGCATGGGCTAGGACAGCAATGCGGTTTGCTTGCCATTGCGACCGCAACCGTGCGGAGATCCCTGGAAGGCACTGCTGAGAGGGACTGCGGAGAACGTGAAGGACCGGCGCTGAGATACATTTCACTGCTGACGAGGCCGTGGGAGTTGGCCACGGAATCTAAAGCGGCATGCTGCTGGCCGTAGCCACCACGGGAAAATTGAGCGGGGGGGTCCACACCAGGGCCGAGGCGGCGCGCTTGCAGGAACTCTTGGCGGATGTAGATGGTTTTCTGTGGCGAATCTGGCGGTCCGAATCCGAATCTCCGGTCGGCTCGCGAGGGGCCGCTGCGGTGCAGTTTAGCCCCCAGACCTGCCTGCACAGCAGCTCGAGCGTAGGCGAGTACGGTGACATTCGAAGCGCGTGACTCCCTGTACATGTTCTGGGATCGTTCACTCCCGCTCCTTCTCTCCCTACCTGCTACGTGTTGGGGTGTTTCACGCTGGGATGCTTCTCGCTCGGGTGTTCCGCGATCGAGTGCTTCGCTGAAATGATGATGTTGATGATGATGATGATGATGATGATGATGATGATGATGATGATGATGATGATGATGATGATGGTGATGGTGATGGTGATGGCGATGGTGATGGTGATGGTGATGGCGATGGTGATGGTGTGATGGTGATGGTGATGATGGTGATGGCGATGGCGATGGTGATGGTGATGGTGATGGTGATGGTGATGGTGATGATGGTGATGGCGATGGTGATGGCGATGGTGATGGTGATGGTGATGGTGATGGTGATGGTGATGGCGATGGTGATGATGATGGTGATGATGATGGTGATGATGGGAAAGCGAGGACGAAGGGGAGGAGGAGGAGGAGGAGGAGGAGGAGGAGGAGGAGGGAGAGGAGGATCAGGAGGTGGAGGAAGAGGTGGAAGAGGAGGAGGGAGGAGGAAATGGCGGGAGATGGAGATGGAGATGGAGATTGAGATGATGTTGATGGTTCATGATGATGACGACGATGCTGATGATAATGCTGATGACGATGATAATAACGATAATGATGACGGTGATGGTGATGATGATACTGATGACGATGCTGCTGGTGATGATGACGATGCCGATGCTGATGACGATGCTGATGACGGTGATTGTGATTGTGATGGTAATGCTGATGGTGGTTGTGGTGATGGTGATGATGACCATAATGATGGTGCTGATGATGATGATGATGATGATGATGAGGTTGATGATGGTAGTGGTGGTTCTGATTATGCGCATGAGGATAATGGTCAAGGTTATGACGATGATGATGAAGGATGAGGAGGAGGAAGAGGATGATGCTGATAATGATAATGATGATGAGGAGGAGGAGGAAACTTATGCTGCTGATGATGATGACAATCATACTGATAATGATGATGGTGATGATGATGATGATGGTGGTGGTGGTGGTGGTGGTCGTGAGGAGGAGGAGGAGGAGGAGAAGGAGGAGCAGAAGGAAGAGGAGGATGAGGAGGAGGAGGTTGAGCAGAACGAGGAGGAGTAGGAGGAGGAGGAGATGGATAAGGCGAGGGAGAAGAGTGGCGTGGAAGGGAGGCGCAGAAGGGCCGACCTCCTCCTCCTCATCCCCGCTGTGCCGAGCCCCAGCCCGTTTGCCGAGCCGCCAGGTGCCCCCGCCGAGTATGCGCCCGCCGAGCCGACCATGTCGTACGCGACTGCTCCAGCGCAGTACGCGGAGGCCGCGCGCCCTCGCCTCGGCTGCGCGTGGGAGTGGCCCTTCGCCGGAGTGGTCTTTGCTGCACGGCAGTGACCCATCTCTGCCACGCGCGAAATCGGGGGTGGACAGAACCCCGACCCTGAAACGCCGATTAGTGAATTGTCCGTGTTCGGTTTTTGAGAGGGCGCCGCGGCCGTCATCTTCCAGGCTTGCGCCCGCCAGGTTTGGGCCCGAGGTCGCCTTCACTAAACCACGTTTTACGAAGGGGGGCTCTGTCCATCCCCGACAAAAGGGGGTGGGGGAGGGGGCAAGGCTTCTTAGAAGCACCCCTGGTTCTTAGAAGGTTCGGGCCTTCTCTGTAGATGTAGGGCGGGCGCCTTCTAAGAAGCAGATTCCTTCTAAGAAGGCTACCCCCGTCCCTCTACCCCTGTGTGCACGGCGCTAACCTTCGCGCGAGTGGCCTTTCGCTGGGGAGTGACCTTTTTAGGAGATGGCCTTCTTGAGCCCCCCCGGACAGTGCGGCGACCCCGCCGGGTGGTGAGTCAGTGGGAACATCGGGTTGGCCGCACAGTTCTGGGACTCGGGTCGTCTTCCGAGGAAGCCTCGGGCGACTGGGGCCTGCAAGGTCCCAGAACAGTACGTTTTCCCGACAGAGGGATGTGAGCTGAGCTTGCCACCAGCGGGGCTTCCCAGGGTGTGCGGGCGTCTTGACTGCGGGCGTGTGCCGTGCAGCAGATACCTGGCGACCTGGGTGCACCCAGAGTCGTGGTGCGATCGCCTCCCTGCTGCAACAGCGGCTGATGTAACAAGACAGCCATGCAGACAAAGTTGGTTGAATGATGCTCCAGCCTGTGCCTGAGGGGGAAGAAGAGGTCCCATAATCGTGCGGCGATGGGCAGTGCGGAGAGGTCTTTCGGAATTCTGGGGTCACCGCACGGTTTTTCACCGCACTATTTCGGGACGACCAGACAATCTCTTGATGATGTTCTTCTCTTGCATCCTTGCGGCCCCTTCCGCCGCACACTTCTGACGCTGCCAGAGTCCAGGCCTCCCGAATGGGGTTCGCGTTGGTTGGGTCGGAGGATCGCTGCCTTATTTTGGGGTACGATTCTCACCACGCTGACGTCACCCACGCATCGCGAACATCGCCGATGCATCGACGACGAGGCGCGATCCTCCGACCCCACTTGCTCGGACCCGATTTGGGCGGCTTTCACGGAGGTGGTCCTAGCCCTAGGCGTCCCCAGCTCTCTGCATCATTTTTTGCCCCCTGGGGCCCCCCATGGGTCTCGTGAGGGGCGTTCTGAAGGCCGTTTTGGTCTCCCCAAAAAAAGCTGGGGTCAACGTGGCCCAGGGGTCATCTTTGGCAACACCCGAGCGTTTGTATTCGTCCTTCACGTGATATATTTTCCTGCCTGCCTGCGTCAATTGTGCAAAATTCTTCCCGCCCTTGATCTGAGCTCACGGAGCGAGTGCCGCGGCGGGACCGCTGGAGGGAAGCGAGCGCGCAGATCTCCTGCTCAATGACTGTTCGGGTGTTTGGCCTCGGGGCCGCCTTGGGGTCTTCTCGGAGCCCTCTCGGAGCCCTCTCGGCAGTCGTGTGCCGTCCTCGAGCCGCCTTCGGGTCGTTTTGGGGGCGAGCTGGGGGCCTGGGGGGGGCGAGGATGCACGCGGCTGTCCGTGGGCAAAGGGCGGGGGGGGCGTTTTGAGATGATGACAGGAGTCCCACCAGACGGCCTTGGCTGGATATCTCACCGCGCCAGGGGGCACGGCGGCGGATCTTGAGGCGTTTCAGCAAGCAGTTACTGTTGACTGAGTTCGATGTGTGCGCGCGGGCTCGCGCGTCTGGTCCGCATCGTATGATTCCACATGGCTAACGAGGCAGAGCGGCAAGTGGTGACTCTAGTAACCGCTTGATGCTGATACACAGTATGTTTTTCAATTATCTCGTCGTGCCTACGCGGGGCCGCGCGCGCGCGCGTATGGCCTGCATGGTTTTATTTAATCGTTTCGCTCATTCCGCCTGCCCTGGAGCGTTATTTGGGGCCTCGTGGGGCCGTATTGGGGGTTTCTTGGGGGCTTCTTGGGAGCGTCTTGGGGCTCCTTCGCGGCGTATTGGGCTCCCCTGGGGCCTCTTGGGGGTTTCTTGGGGGCCCCTTGGGGCGGGAGGGGGGGTAGTCGTTGGCAGCCCCCCCCTCGGAGGCCCCGATCCTCGTGAGGGGTGGCGAAAAATAGCCTCCCCCTTGGGGATCGCCCAGGGGTCAGCCGGGGATCGGCCAGGGTACTTTTCGTCCGGGGCCCCCCACGGGCCGCCCCGCGCGCGCGAACTAGAAATATTGATAAGTAGTTACCGGAGATCTTGGCACGCCTCTGGCCCGTTGGGCCGTGCCTACGCGGGGCCGCGCGCGCGCGTATGGCCTGCATGGTTTTATATGACAGGGATGAGCAGATCATGTTCGGGGTGGTGCCATGAAGTCCGGCCTCGGCACGGAGGTCGCAGTCCATGCTTTCGCAGCAGTAGCAGAGCGAAGTGGAAGCGTCCCTTCAGGGCAAGCGCTGTTCAGGGAACGGTCGTCGCCGCGGGGATTCAGCAAGCTACACGGAGTCAGAAGCAGGTGGTCCGCAGCATCTGAGCTGCGACCAGTGGCGCTGCGGGCCGTATTCCTCATACTAGTCCTCTTAAGTAGGTATTTGTCACGTTTCTTCCCGGGTCCCAGTTCGATGTGATCGATCCGATGCGATATCGATGTCGGTGGGCCCGATCCGACCCGACTCCGATTTTCCAACGATCCGACGCGGCTCGATGCTCGCGTGGCGTCACTGTGCATCATTGCGCGGCCGATCCGGTCCGATACCCAACCCCGTGCCGATGCAGCCGAGTTCGATGGCACGTTCCGACCCGATCAGATCTCGCGACTTGTCCGATCCGATCTCGCGACTCGATGCTGGCCGCCCCCTTGCCCCATCCCCTGCTTGGAGCGTGCGGGACCGGCAGACGCGCCCTGCTGGGTGCCGTCCCCGCTCAACGGGCCGCCCTCCTGCAGCTCAGATTGCTGCTCCTCCCTCCCTCGCCTCCTGCCTGACTCCTTCCTCCTCCTCTTCCTCCTCCTCCTCCTCCTCCTATTCCTCCCCCTGCTCCTCCTCCTCCTCCTCCTTCCCCCATGTTTTCTGTTTCTGCTGTCAGCCGCGGAGAACACGCTGATCTGAAGCGCTGCGGCGCCAACCGCACCCATCCCGCGCCAGAGCGGGCTCTATTCGCCGATGGGTCTCTCGTTTTTGTTGTTTCTCTCTCTGTCTCTCGTTCCTCCTCCTCCTCCTCCTCCTCCTCCTCCTCCTCCTCCTCCGCCGCCGCGCCCTCCCTTCCCACCCCCTTCTCCCGACATCTGACTTCTGTTGTCGCGTAACGCAGCTTCCACAATTTCCCCTTTCCCCTTCCTCCGTCATCCCTTCCTCCCTCCTCTTCCTCCTCTTCTTCCTCTTTCACTTCCCTATTCTTCGGACGAGGACGGCGGCAACAATCTCGCGGACTACGACGACCACAGTAACGACAAAGTCGGCGACGGCGAGGACGACGACGACGTCGACGACGACGACGACGACGACGACGACGACGACGACGACGACGACGACGGCGGCGGCGGCGACGACGACGACGACGACGACGACGACGACGACGACGACGACCCCGCGAGGCGGCGTACACCCAGCCAGCCACGGCCTATGCTTCTGAGCCGCTGCAAGTGGAGGGGCGCGGGGGGAAGGAGGGGAGGGGGTGGAAGGGCAAGAGAACGAGGAGGAGGAGGAGAAGGAGGAGGACCGAAAGCAACAATGGCGCGGAGTTGTTTTTTTTTTATCGATTTGGGCATATGGGCGCTCATGCCGGCCTCTGGCACCTTCAGAAATCGATCCAGGATGAAACATGTGCTGGAATGAACCCCATACATGGGGTCTAGGGACCGATTTTGAGCACCATTGGGCCGGGAGGGTGTGAGAAGATGAGAAGGATCTGGGTCAGCCCAAGATGTATCAGCGATGTCGCAATACAATGCACCTTTCTGTCCTAAGTCCCCTCCCCAAAGGTCCTGAGATGCCTCTACTCACTTCAAAAAGCGCCCCTTTGAAAGGCCAGCTCCCTGTGGGTTGGCAATCTAGGCGAGAGCCCCGTCTTGAAACGAATTGCCTCGCATCGCTCGAGCGCGTAATCCGGATTGCGAAATGGTGTGCGTGGGTTGCAGCAGTATTCCCGCTTCAACAAAGGACCGCCCCTCGTCCCATCCGTGTAGCGATTGCACAACTCTACATTTAGAGTCTCCGTGCAGTTGCTACACAGGTTGAAGTGTTGTCTCCATGTTGGTGGGATCTCAAGCGGCAGCCTCATGCTATACACATTCCACAAATATTCCTTGTGCTTGCTGCAACGTTTAGGACGAATGTGCGCGACGCCAAGGCGAGAACCCCAAGTTGAAAATGAGCCGCCTTCCATCCTTGCAGCTTCTGCAAATTTTCACAGCACATGCGCGCGGCGCTTGGACGGAAACTTATTTTTGGACGTCGACCCCCTTTTCCATCCTTGTGATTGAAGTGCGTGCGGCGCTGAGGCGAGAACCGCCCTCCATCATTGCAACTGATGCGAGCTGCTCAGCCGGATGTGCGCGGCGGTCAGGCGAGAGCCCAAGTATGAAGATAAACCGCCCTCTGCTCTTATGGCTGCGGCAAGTTTGTACGACAAAAACGCGCGGCGCCAATGCGAGATCGATTACGCAGGCCTGAGTGAGCGGCAGCGGTGGTTCCTGTGAAGTGATGGAGCCCCATCGAACCCAGGGGGGGTCCAGCCAAGCGATCGGCCGCTGCGCGGCCTGTGGAACGCAGCCCGTGCGCCGTAGAATTCAGTGGCGCGCGCAAACGAGGCCGCGGGTCAGACCTGCATGCGCGCAGGTCCGCTCCTCGCCCTCCTGCGGCCCCTTTTTCTGTTGCTGCATTTGCGCATCTTCCATTGCCCCTGTTCATCCTCACCCGCCTCTCCTTTGCCGTCCTCTTCCCCGTCATCCTCCTGTTGCTCCTGCTCATCCGTGCTCCTGCTTTCTCCGTTCTTTTCATCAGCCTCATCCTTCGTCACCCTCTCTTGCCCCTGCTCCTCCCCCATTGCCGCCCTCGGCCATGCCTTGTCTTATCCCCCCTTCCCATCAACCTCGCCATCCTCCCCTTCATGCTCTTCCCCTCCGCCCCCACTCATTCACCGTCCTCCGTGGCCTGCAGCCACCTCGGTCCCAACAGGCCCCCAAATGGCACAATCTGGACAAGATGGCGAAGGATCCGAACAGCACTGATGCAATTTCCCCAGAATCGGATTGACCCCCAGCGGTGTGCCATTTAGCAGAGACCAGGTCACCCAACCATCGAGACAAGGTCTGTTTGCGCCCTGGCTCGGGCTCTTGGACTGTGACGCCAGGATGGGCCAACGGCAAACTCAAGACGAAATCGCTCAGCGCGGAGAACTGTTTGACCGCGGAAGAGTACCCGAAAGAGAAAGCACACCAATAATGGTGCGCGGTGAAACTGTGAAACGAGGAAGACAAGAAGTTGCGCCAGAAGATCTGCGCACACCAATATTGAAGCTGACGGTAGATACGCGCCTGTCAGGCTTCAAGCCATGATCGAACTCAGGCAGGCCCCCAGCCAAGGTTCAATGGAACCTTCCAGAATCAGCATGCACTTGGGGAGACGGCCCCGCTGGCCCGTTCACAGGGGTCGCCAAGCCACCGCGGGGGATGCCGCGGGCAAGTTTCGAGGCGAGTTGCCTCATGTCCGGGGCGTGTTGGGGCGCTGGCGCCCGCGCGCGGCAAGTAGCGAGGCGAATTGCCCCTGCCGAGACAAAGGGATTTGGCTGGCGACGAGCTCGCTGTTCCTGTCGTGCCTGTTGTGCCACGTGTGGCAGCGGTGCCAGTTGTGCTTGTTGTGTCTGTAATACATGATGTGCCTGTTGCGCCTGTTGTTCGCCATCGCCGTCGCCGCCGTCGTCGCCGCCGACGCAGCCGCGTCGGCTCGAGGCCGCGCAAGAGAAACGACCGCCCTAATGCCCCGCGCACGGATGACATCGCCCCGAACTATATGCACTTCAGTTCTCGGGGGCGTTGACGACACCATCAAGTTGCATTCAATTTGGGTGGTGCTGCTTCGACATACAGCTGGGGAGAGCGCGACCTATGAGGGGCGCATGAGGGACCGACATGTGGCTCCCAGAGTAGGCAAGCACACTGAAGACGAGGCCACGGGGGCGCCCAGCCAAGCGACAACGGACGCCGCCAACGATGATCCTTTCGGAGGCGGTCTCGTTGAGACGCCGAACCCCGACAAATCCAAGGCAAAGTGACGCCGACTTGACGCCCTGGCGGCCACGCCGCTACATCGCGCATCGGGCGTCGGAGGGCCTCCTCGACGGGCGCCACATCCACGCGCACCCGAAGATGCACGGGGCAAGCGTCAAGGCACGCGCGAAGTATTCCAAGCAGGCCCCCCGGCGCAAGCTACTTGCGAAGCCGATGATACGCGCCCGGTCGCAGAGGTTCGCTTCGAAATCGATCATGCAGGCGCGTGGCCAAGATGCTTCCAGTCTGGAGACCTTGGCGATGGGGCACTGAGTGCGCGCGGACACGGACAGCCATCAATTCGGCCGCGGCGCCGTTTCAGGTCCGTCAGGAAGCGCGTCTTTGAGCTTGGCCAGTGGATTCTGAAGTTGCCCAGCGAGCGCCAGCGACGCAACCCGCAGGCTGCGCCGCGCTCGTCGGGCGCAGGCCCGCGGAGCGCAGGCTCGACCGCGGCTGCTTCTCAGGCTTCTGTTTCGCGCGCCTCTTCCAAGGAGTGGCCCATGAACTCGATGCGCAACGGGGCTCGTCTGAGTGGCGCAAGAGATGCCATGTTTCTGGCGCCCGGGGGCGGCGCGACAGCATGCGCTGGAACAACAAAGACCATCAGACAGATCGCATCAACGTCATCAGCAAATCAGCTTCGCGCAGCGCGTAATACTGCCACGCCAACATCATAAGCGCCACATCATTGGCATCATCAAAGCATGAAGTCACGGCCACCATCGCATCAGCGCCATCAACCAACCAGCACTCTGAAAACTCTCGCTGCGCTGCAGGCGCCCACGGGGTCAGACCGCGGAAAGGCGGCCCGCCCTCAAACAAGAGAGCGGCGTCGGTTCCGAGGGGGCGGCGTCGGCAAGCGCACGCGCCAGGTCGCGGCGGAGATCGACCCCGCCCCTCCCCGCCAGCGCCAGTATAAAAATCGGGGCCAGACCGCGGAAGCCACTTTCGAGCACGGGGGGCGGGCCGCTGCGCGCGCGGCTTCGAACAACAGCCAAACTCGCGCAGACGCGATCTCGAGGGGGCCGTTCGAGGCAGCGGCCAAACTCTCGCAGGAGATCGGGCTCAGGCGCGGCGGTCGTCGCCGTCGACGCGCTCGGTGGCGACGCGAAGGCTTCCAGCCGAGCGCCCAGGGCCAAAGTGGATCGGGGTTTCT